TTTGGGCTCCAAAATAATTATTTCCCCCCCCCCCATGTACTTTAAGGGAGCCCCACTTCTGCTTGCTCACAGCAGGGTAGGAAGCCATGCGATGCACCAGTGCTGCTGCTGTGAGGACAACGTAAGATCTTACTCAAGAGCTAGCTATAATATGAGACAATGTTCTGGGAACAGAAGAAATAAAGTCATCACAGCATGCCTGTTCCCTTGTTTTATGTATAGGTGATACCATATGTTCCCCAAAATAAGAGCTATCCTAAAAAGTAAGCCCTACCACATTGTGTGGGCACCCAATATAAGCTCTACCCCCCAAAATAAGCCCTACCCCCCAAAATAATAATCCCCCCCAAATAAGCCCTACTTAAGCACCTGTGTAGCTGGTTGCTCGTGGTGCCACTGCCACAAGATGAGGTGGGGGGTGGAGCTACCCCACATGCCCCACACCTTATAGCCCCTGCAGCCAGGCCACCCACACTCCATCACCTGCCTTACCTCATGGCAGCAGCTCCGGTAACCTCTCCACAGGACTTCACGTGGCCATCAGCCCACTTTTTCTGTTTGCTCGTATGGCTGCAACACAGCAGGAGGCTAAGTGATGTGTTGGTGCCATGGCCATGAGGTGAGGTGAGGTGGGGGGGTTGGAGCTGCCCCACAGCCCTGTACCAGCTTATTTCAGGATCCCTGCAGCCAAGACATCCATGCTTCAACACCTGTCTCACCTCATGGCAATGGCACCAACACATTGCCTGGCCTGTTGCTCCAGCAGCCACATGAGGTCCTGTTGGATGGGGCCCCACCCCCAGGTCCCGTTTTGGCTTCCAGATTGGTGGAGGCTTTTCAGACCCAAAATGGGGTGCAGGGGGACCTCACGATTTCTGCAGTTTCTTCCCCCTAGCTTTCTCCTGCAGTTCTGCCTCCTGTGCCTTCCCCAATCTCTGCAGTTCCCCCTCCAGGATGCCCTACCTTTCTCCCCCTAGCACGTCCTAGCTTTCTCCTGCAATTCTGCCTCCCATGGCTTCCCCAATCTCTGCAGGTCGTTCCCCTCCCCGGCGCCCTACCTTTCTCCTGCATTTCTGCCTCGGGTGCCTTCCCCAATCTCTGCAGTTCCCCCCAGCACACCCTAGCTTTCTCCTGCATTTCTGCCACCCATGCCTTCCTCAATCTCCACAGGTTCCCCCCCCCCCCCAGCACACCCTACGTCCTGCATTCCTGCCATGGAGAGGCACCTTCAGAGGGTGGAGCCTGCGGAGATCGGGGAAGGCACAGGAGGCACAAATGCAGGAGAATGCTAGGACATGCAGAGGAGAGAAACTGTGGAGATTGGGGAAGGTACCGGAGGTAGGAATGCAGGAGAAAGCTAAGAGGTGCTGTGGGGGGGAAAGGTAGGGTGTGCTGGTGTGGGGGGGGAAACTGTGGAAATCAGGGAAGACCCCATCCCACCCCTGCGTATGCGCGGCAGAGACATGAAGACCAGCTGGCCGGCAGGTGGCGCACGCGCATGCATAGTGAAGCTGGGCTGGGGCAATGACTGGCATGCCCACAGAGGGCTCTGAGTGACACATGTGCCGTAGGTTTGCCATCATGGCTATATAGCATTAAAGTGATACATTAGTCCTTAAATCAATGCCTTCTGGAGTGGCCTGAGGAATTGTGGTGCAGTGGTTGGAATCCATCATCCACTTTAGAGTCTGGCTAAGGCACGGCTTCCCTCCCCCTTTCCTATCTTTAGCAGCTCAGTGAGAGGTAGTGTTCTTGGCAAATGAAGGGATAAACTGCCTATAGAAATTTGTGAATCCCAAAAAACTCTGCAGCTCAGGAGGTCTGCCATTCGAGTATGGCTTTTATGTTTCCCAGGTCCATCTCCACACCTTCACTTGACACTTGGTAGTCCAGGTAGTCTAGGTGGGTCTTGTGGAATTCATACTAAGACAGCTTAGCATATAGATTTGCTGCTAGAAGCTTCTTGAGCACCTGGTGCACTAACTTCACATGCTCTTCCATTGTTTGGGAGAAGATGAGAATATTGTTCAGGTACACTAGCCTGAACAGAAAAGAGAAGAAGATGAGCATAAGGAGGGAGAAAGTACAATAAAACTTATTTAAAAAGGAGGGGATTCTGTACAGGTGTTCATGCACTACCTTGTTAGCTGTATAAACACGGCAGTGGCTCCTTGGAGGCCAAATGGCATCACTTTCAACTGGAAGCTCCCCAGCAGGCAATTAAAAGCAGTCTTCCATGTCGCCCTCCTTGATTCTTACTTGGTAGCATGCCTCCCTCAGGTCTAGCCTGATGAAAATCTTCCCTCTGGCCAAATGGCCCAACATGTCCTTTATTAGGGGGAGGGATTGCATGTTCTCCACGCATACCCCATTGATCACCCTAAAATCCATGCATAGCCTCAGTGACCTGGCCTTCTGCTCCTTGAACAGTATGGGGGCTGCTACCCGGGACTTGGCTGGCTGGCTGAACCCCCTGGTCAGGTTCTTATAAATGTAGTTTCTCAGCTCCTCCAACTGTTTTGGAGTCATAGAATAAATCTTCGGCTTGGGGAGTTTCGCCCCTGGCAGGATCTCTATCATGCAGTCAGTAGAGTGGTAAGGGGGTAGGACGTCACATTCCTCTTTGCTGAACACTCCCCTCAGATCCTGATACTCTTGGGGGATGAGCTGGGCCTCTGGCTGCTGCTCTGAGGCTGCTGTCAGCTGCTCGCCTCCTCCGCCTTCTCACTTTGCCATTCAGCCTTTCCCTTGAGTCTCCGATGGGGAAAGTAGAGGAATACCCTCCTTTTTAAATAAGTTTTATTGTACTTTCCCCCTCCTTATGCTCATCTTCTTCTCTCTTTTCTGTTCAGGTTGGGCCCCACTTTTCGAGCCAGGATATCCCCAGGATCACTGCCTCCTTCATTTTCAGTGCTATTGTGAACTGGATGATCTCCCGGTGCTCACCTATCTCTAATCACATGGGCTCAGTCAGGTGCATTGGGGGGGAGTGTCCTATTAGGGATCCATCCACCTGCTCAAACCTCATGGACTGGGCAGCATCCTCATCATATTCCTAGTTTTAGCACCGTGGACAGGTTCATTAAGGATCAGGTGCAGCCCGTGTCTATGAGTGCCTTCAATTCTCCCTGGGCTCCCGACTTGGGTGCTATGATCCTCAGTAGGGCAGAGAAGGGGAGGATGGCTTCACTTACCATTGGGTCACTCTCTCCCTCATCTTTGCTCTCATAAGGGGCCAGGTACTGGTCCCCCTCATAGTTCCCTCACTATGAAGGAAGGTGTCATGCCCCCATCGGAGTTTGAATCTGCGGGGGAAGATGAGCTGCAACAAGAGCTGACAGATATTGAGCTGGCTACTCCATTGGACTTGGAGGAAACTGGGGAAGGGCAGAGTCAGTCCGGGCAAGGCTTTTCAAGATTAGAACATCTTGCAGACAGGAAGAAGCCGGAGAGACAGAGTTCAGGCGAAGAACAAGGACCATTCCCTCCTGATCCTAGAGCACGCAGAGAAGAGTGAAGGTGAGACCAATGCAGACTGAGCTGGTTACAAGGGAGAGAGTGCCCCACCCCCTTCACAAGGCACATCTGGAGACTGAGATGTAAGGAGGTGCTGATGGGTGGGGCATTTGTTGGGAACAAGCATTGAATCTGTGGAGCTTTGTGTGCACTTGTCAACGCCTGGAAATTACTGTGCTCTGTCTTATGAGGCTTGCCCAGTTTGCCTGCTTTGCTGGACCGCTGGCCCTGGTTACTGCTTGGCTAAACCTGGATTATTGGACTGCTGGCCCTGGTTACTGTTTGGTTAAACCTTGCTTACTGGACCACTCGCAGCCAGAGGCTGCTAAAAGTGTCTGAGAGAGCTTTGTTCCAGGACGTGGGGATGTTTGGGGGCAAAGTTGGAACAATAAAGTGGAGTTAGACCTGTTCTCTGGCTGCACTGCTTTCATGCCATGCCCTGGGTCATCATAGAAGGAGAACTCTATGGCCTAGTATACTGTGCTCAACCTCTCTCTTGCCTTTCATTGCAGTTTTTTGGCTCAGCGGGAGCAGGTGGTCCCCCTCTTGGTGGGGGAGTGAGTGCCAAGCATTCGTCTGCCCTATGGCCCTGCTGGCTACATTGGAAGTATAGGATGGCTCCGCGGGCTGGGGCAACTGGGAAGTTGTTCAGAGTTTTGCAGCATTAACTCAGTGCCAGAAAAATAAACACAGGTGGCTGATGCTTCATTTAATGTCTTTATAAACATAATAAGTAAATTTTACAAACCAGTTGTAGATTTCTCCAACATGGAGCAAACTCAGACAGAAGTAAACATGTTGCAAGTAACTTAACTTCAGCAGCATGCCAGCAAGTAAAACAGAGAGAGAACTTCTAGTTTCACTTTCCAGGTCAGCTCCTATTGGTTGGTCTGTTACTATGCCTACTCACTGACTCTGGCTGACTGTGCAACAACTGCAATAATAAAATTAGCCTTTTTTTCTGATCTGTTGCTCTCTGGGTATATTGGATTATAATACCCAGATTATAATACCCAGAATTTAAGATGCCAACGGGAAAACAATGCTAATTAATATGAGAAATAGTAGAAGAAGAGATCGTGCTCTAACTTGGTATGATGAATCTGTTTCTTAAACCTTATACTCTTAGCAATTCTGCTCACAATATGTACAGTATATATTGGATCCTAGGAGGAAGTAGGAAATTTGTGATTGATTGGTGGTTAGTTATTTATCCTTTCACAGAGATAGGCATAAGATCATCTTATGTGATTAGAAATGATAGTCAATAATTATTCTTAAAAGGCTGACATTTCACATACTCATTTTAGTTTTTTACAATGGAAGACAAAATTTCCTTCTTCCTTTGGAAATTAATAGGGTTAGTGCTGCAGGTATTTCCTTGTACTTTGATAATTGTCTACTGGTGATAAATATTGCATCATGCTACTGGGTGTGTGTTTTGTGCAAATCGCTTCCTGATAGAAGAACAGCTGGTTTTTCAGGTTAATGGATAGAGTAACCAGTATCAGTACCCTGTAAAGTTGCTTACAAGGAACATTTCAGCTATTATGTCCTGGATATGGTAAGGCTTGATTAATCAGAATGCCATTTGCACAATTATTCTAATTTAAAAGCATATACATTCATAGACTCCTGTAATTGTATATTGCTCTTTTTCAAGCTATCATGGAACATAAAGAGTAAGAAATGAGGTTTGAGTAGACCATTTGTTTAACATAAAGCTGCTACTTTAACTTCCTGTTGGAACAATGAATAAAACTGGGATGTTCCCAAGTTATAAATTGCTGTGATTTCCATTTGAACTATAGCATAAAAAATCATTTCACTGTAAAATCATCAAAGGTTTATTCTAGAATGATGTAATTGAATAATACTTTTTTCTTTGCTTAACGTACTTTTATAATCTCAACAGATCAGACTGAAGTGTATGCTATTATACTTGGGATGCTAATTCACTGTGCTGCTTTTGATAGATCTTTAGGAACAAAATAAGGGAAATCTTAGTGTCAGTTGTCAGATATAAGGATTTACTCAAAGCTTGTTGGTCTACCTTCCTTATTACTTAAATTTGATCAGAAATGACTGGTATTCAGTCCCATTCTGTTTCTGAAAAATCAATGCTGTATTTGATGAAAGTATTGCTATTAGTCTGTTCAGGAATAAAATAGAAGTGGTCCTTGACTTATGACTATTTGTTCAGTGACTGTTCAAAATTACAAAGATGTTAAATGAAAGGACTTATGGCAGATGCTCAAACTTAAGATTGTGGCACCAGCCCCAGGGTTACCTAATTGCAATCTAGGCTCTTGGCAATTTGTTTGCACTTATGATGGATTGCCTTATGATGGATTGCTACTTATATCATGTGATCACCATTTGTGATCTTCCCTGCTGGCTTCTTCAGAAAGTCAACAAGAAAGGGAGGGAACTTTCTTACGACTTTCCAGCAGGAAAAGTCGTAAGTTGCTTTGTCTCTCTGTGGAGTATGCCCCCTTCCAATGAAGGAAGGACAACAAGGCGCTGTGCAGAGAAATAAAGCTAGGACACCTTAGCATCTCCCCATAAGTATACTGTCTCCTCTCCCTACCCCACTTATGAAAGTTATGAAAAAGTATTACAAAAAGGTTGAAATTCTGCAAAATTACTTTCTTTGGAAAGATCTACCATGCCTACTAGTTTCATCCAATAGTGCCAACCCACACACATGCACAAGCCCACAATAAATTGCAGAAGTTTGGATGCTTTTCTATCTTTTGTCAGATCAAATCTTGAGTCTTGTGGCCTTTAAAATTTAAATACAGATAGTCATCGACTTAGAACAGTTCATTTAGTGACATTTAAAGTCACAACAGTACTGAAAAAAGTAACTTATGACTGTTTTTCGCACTTACGTTGCAGCATCCTCATGGTCACATGATCAAAATTCAGATGCTTGGCAACTGGTTCATATTTAGGACAATTGCAATATCAGATGTACAGCTTTTGCACTTTCTGATGAGCAAAATCAATGGGGAAGCCAGATTTACTTAACAACCATGTTACTAACTTAATGCAGTGATTCGCTTAAGAACTGTGGCAAGAAAAGTCATAAAATGGGGCAAAACTCTTAGCAACACAAATTTTGGGTTCAATTGTGGTCATAACCCGACTACCTGTAATGCTAATTTTGGGAATCCAGTTCAAGTCAGACTGATCCTATAGATTCATTGGATGCACATTTCTTGTCCATCTAAAATAGATAACTTACAATGTATGTAGTATGAAAATATGGACAGGTTTAGGGATGGGATTCTACCGGTTCGGACCAGTTCGGTCGTACTTGTTATGATTTTCCATAGTTTGAAGAACTGGTAAATTGGGCCTCTGACTGGCACCGCCCCTCCGCCCGTTTCTCCACTCCATTCCCAATCAGTCCCTGTTGCACATGTGCAACATCACGCGCATGCGTGACATGCCTGCAGCCTGCTTTTGCCTGCCTGCCAGGCCAGCCATTGCTGCCTGCCTTTCGCTACGGCCCTGTCTGATCTGATCTCCCTGGGTGAGTGAGGCTCTGCAATCCCCATTCGTCTTTCCTCCCCCACCACTTGCCTTCCACCTTGGAACACGTGGAGAGACTTGTGTTGGCTCAGGCCAAGTCAGCTTCTCTCACCTGCTACTCCGGCTGGCACAGCAAAAAGCTTGCAAGTCCGTCTCCCGTCGGGAAACGGCTCCTGGGCAGGAGAGAAGCAGCCTGGTTGAATCCTGTTTCTTAATGCTGCACAGGAGCCGTTTCCCGAAGGACTTGCAAACTTTTTGCTGGGCCGGGAAAGATTCTCTCACTCTTCCAGCAAGAGCAGGTGAGAGAAGCAGCCGCTGACCTGGCCAGAGCCGACACGAGTCTCTCCACTGTTCCTTACAGCTGGGAGAGTGAGACAGTCTTTTCCGGCACAGCAAAAAGCTTGCAAGTCCCCCTCCCATTGGGAAAAGGGCTCTGGTGGCAGACAGAAACAGAGCAACCTGGCTGCTTCTCTGCCGCCGGCCAGAGCCCATTTCTCGATGGGAGGGGAACTTGCAAGCTTTTCATGATTGAATTTAAGAGTGCCCCATGGAAGAAGCCGAGAAGCCGAGAGCAAAAGTAACGACTGTGAGGGCGATGGGCATGTGACATGTCCTTCCATGGTCCCCTCCCAGATGGCAGCCAGGGCTTTGCCTCCTCTTTTCCTCAGAGGCGCAGTATCTGCCTCCCTTCACATTCCTTGCGGAGGGACACGCCTTGCTCTCAGCTTCTTGGCTTCTTCCATGGGGCACTCTTAAACAGGCATGATATTTTTCCGATTAAAATCAGAATTCCGATTTTTTTCGGAATCGCCCGGGCGAGCGGCGGGCGGGGCGAGCGGCGGGCGCGCGCGGCGGTCGGTG